TAGATCCTGATTTTCAGAGCCAAATTTTCAGAGCCTGATTTTCAGAACCCGACTTTTATATCCTGATTTTCAGAGCCTGATTTTTAGAACCTAATTTTCAGAACCCGATTTTCAGATCCCAATTTTCAGGGCCCGATTTTTAGCATCCATGAACTGCACTAAAACCCCACAGGAATTCTGGGGGTCAGCACCCCCTGAGAGTATCCCCTGGGACACAACACCCACCCTGCTCACATTGTGTGTCTCAATCTGTGCCCTSCTCTGCCCTAGATCTGGGACACGGGGGGACAGGAGCGCTTCCGCTCCATGGTGTCCACCTTCTACAAAGGCTCTGAYGGCTGCATGCTGGCCTTCGACGTGACAGACAGGGAATCCTTCGAGGCCCTGGACAACTGGAGAGATGATTTCCTGGAGAAGGTCATTCCCAGGGAACAGGATTTCCCCATGGTGGTGCTGGGGAACAAGATAGACCTTTGTGATCGGCAGGTAAGGGTGGAGGAGGGAGGGCAGGGTGAGACGGGGCAGAGCCAGTGTCCCTGGAGGGGTTTAAAAATACAAATGTGACACTTGGGGACACGGTTTGGTGCTGAAATTGGTGATCTGAGGGATTTAAAAACACAAATGTGACACTTGGGGGCATGGTTTGGTGCTGGAATTGGTGATCTGAAGGATTTAAAAACACAAATGTGACATTTGGGGACACGGTTTGGTGCTAGAATTGGTGATCTGAGCGATTTAAAAACACGAATGTGACACTTGATGATACCGTTTGGTGCTGGTTAGTAGCTGGAATTGGTGATCTGAGGGATTTAAAAACACAAATGTGACACCTGAGGACAAGATTTAGTGCTGGGGTAATGGCTGGACTTGGTGATCTGAGGGTTTTAAAAACACAAATGTGACATTTGGGGACATGGTTTGATGCTGGAATTGGTGATCTGAGGGATTTAAAAACACAAATGTGACACCTGAGGACAGGATTTAGTGCTGTGTTCATGGCTGGACTTGGTGATCTGAGGGTTTTAAAAACACAAATGTGACATTTGGGGACACGGTTTGGTGCTGGAATTGGTGATCTGAGGGATTTAAAAACACAAATGTGACATTTGGGGACACGGTTTGGTGCTGGAATTGGTGATCTGAGGGATTTAAAAACACAAATGTGGCATTTGGGGACACGGTTTGGTGCTGGAATTGGTGATCTGAGGGATTTAAAAACATAAATGTGACATTTGGGGACACAGTTTGGTGCAGGGTTCATGGTTGGATTGGTGATCTGATGGATTTAAAAACACGAATGTGACACTTGGGGACATGGTTTGATGCTGGAATTGGTGATCTGAGGGATTTAAAAACACAAATGTGACACCTGAGGACAAGATTTAGTGTTGGGTTCATGGCTGGACTTGGTGATCTGAGGGATTTAAAAACACAGATGTGACATTTGGGGACACAGTTTGGTGCAGCATTAGTGGCTGGAATTGGTGATCTGCAAATGTGACATTTGAGGACACAGTTCAGTGCTGGGCTAATGGTTGGAATTGGTGATCTGAGGGATTTAAAAACACAAATGTGGCATTTGAGGACATGGTTTGGTGCTGGACTTGGTGATCTGAGGGATTTAAAAACACAAATGTGGCATTTGGGGACACAGTTCAGTGCTGGGTTCATGGCTGAAATTGGTGATCTGAGGGATTTAAAAACATAAATGTGACATTTGGGGAAATGGTTTAGTGCTGGAATTTGTGATCTGAGGGATTTAAAAACATAAATGTGACACTTGGGGACACGGTTCGGTGCTGGGTTCATGGTTGGAATTGGTGATCTGAGGGATTTTAAAACATAAATGTGACACTTGGGGACACGGTTTGGTGCTGGAATTGGTGATCTGAGGGATTTAAAAACAGAAATGTGACACTTGGGGACACGATTTGGTGGAGGATTCATGGATTGGTGATCTGAGGGATTTAAAAACATAAATGTGATGCTTGGGGACACAGTTTGGTGCTGGGTTAATGGTTGGAATTGATGTGAGGGATTTAAAAACACAAATGCGACATTTGGGGACACGGTTTGGTGCTGGGTTCATGGCTGAACTTGGTGATCTGAGGGATTTAAAAACACAAATGTGGCATTTGGGGACACAGTTTGGTGCTGGAATTGGTGATCTTGAGCGATTTAAGAACATGAATGTCACACTTGGGGACACAGTTTGGTGCTGGGTTCATGGTTGGAATTGGTGATCTGAGGGATTTAAAAACACAGAGGTGACACTTGGGGACACGGTTTGATGCTGGAATTGGTGATCTGAGGGATTTAAAAACAAAAATGTGACATCTGGGGACATGGTTTGGTGCTGGAATTGGTGATCTTGAGCAATTTAAAAACACAAATGTGACACTTGGGAACACGGTTTGGTGCTGGAATTGGTGATCTGAGGGATTTAAAAACAGAAATGTGACACTTGGGGACACAGTTTGGTGCTGGGTTCATGGTTGGATTGGTGATCAGAAGGGTCGTTTCCAACCCCAGCGAGTCCATGATTTTATGGCTGGGATATTTTGGTGCCCTAACGATTTCTAAGGGTTGGTCCTTGACCTGCAGAGCCTTCACCTTCCGAGGAGCCTTCTCCTCATCCTCWCCCAAAAACCAGGGCTGCAGGCAAGGAGCTGCCACCTCCCCCAGGGGAGGGGACAATCAGTGTCCCCCGCTGTCCCTTGTCCCCTCTGGAGGTGGTGACAGTGCCAGGATGGGTGAGGAGGGTCCCTGTGCCCCCCTGATCTGCTGCTCCATTCTCAGGTGCCCAAGGAGATGGCAGCAGCCTGGTGTAAGGAAAAGGACATCCCCTATTTCGAGGTCAGCGCCAAGAACAACATCAACGTGGCCGAGGCTTTCGAGACGCTGGCCAAGCAGGCGCTGAGCACGGTGAGAACCCCAAAAACCTGAGCGGGGYGGGGTTGGGGAGGGGGCGGCACCCGGGGGATGGGACAGACCCTCCAGATGGAACAGCTCCTGCTGGCACGGGGGTGAGAAACACGGCGGGGTTTGATCCTAAATCAGCTCGAAAGGAACGGGAATTGGGGTTTCCTTCAGGAATTGCGGTTTCCTTCAGGAATTGCGGTTTCCTCCAGGAATTGCGGTTTACTTCGGGAATTGCAGTTTCCTTCGGGAATTGCCATCTCCTTCAGGAATTGAAGTTTCCTTCAAAAATTGCGGTTTCCTTCAGGAATTGCAGTTTCCTTCAGGAATTGCAGTTTCCTTCAGGAATTGCAGTTTCCTTCGGTAATTGCGGTTTCCTCCAGGAATTGTGGTTTCCTTCAGGAGCTGCAGTTTCCTTCAGGAATTGAGGTTTCCTTCAGGAGTTTTGGTTGCCTTCAAAAATTACGGTTTCCTTCAGGAATTGCGGTTTCCTTTGGGAATTGTGGTTTCCTTCAGGAGTTGTGGTTTCCTTCAAAAATTACGGTTTCCTTCAGGACATGCAGTTTCCTTCAGGAATTGCCATTTCCTTCAGGAATTGCAGTTTCCTTCAGGAATTGCGGTCTCCTTCAGGAATTGTGGTTTCCTTCAGGAGTCGCGGTTTCCTTCAGGAGCTGCAGTTTCCTTCAGGAATTGCGGTCTCCTTCAGGAGATTCAGTTCCCTTCAAAAATTGCAGTTTCCTTCAAAAATTGGGGTTTCCTTCAGGAGATGCGGTTTCCTTCAGGAATTGTGGTTTCCTTCAGGAGTTGCGGTTTCCTTCAAAAATTGCAGTTTGCTTCAGGAATTGCAGTTTCCTTCAGGAATTGCAGTTTCCTTCAGGAGTTGTGGTTTCCTTCAGGAATTGCAGTTTCCTTCAAAAATTGCAATTTCCTTCAAAAATTGCGGTTTCCTTCAGGAATTGTGATTTCCTTCAGGAATTGCGGTTTCCTTCAGGAGATGCAGTTTCCTTCAAAAATTGGGGTTTCCTTCAAAAATTGAGGTTTCCTTCAGGAATTGTGGTTTCCTTCAAAAATTGTGGTTTCCTTCAAAAATTGCAGTTTCCTTCAAAAATTGCGGTTTCCTTCAGGAGTTGCGGTCTCCTTCCGGAGCTGAAGTTTCCTTCAGGAGTTGCAGTTTCCTTCAAAAATTACAGTTTCCTTCAGGAGTTGCAGTTTCCTTCAGGAATTGCGGTTTCCTTTCCCCGCAGCGATGGGAACGGGAAGTGTGGCACTCACAGCACTGCCAGCACTGTCCCCTAGCGGCCACCCCGCGGGGACATTGGTGTCCCCAAGCCCTGCGCTGGTGGCTTTTCCCTGGTTTTTGCCGCAGGGCAGGGCTGAGCCCCGGCTCTCCCGTCCCTCTGCTCAGGCCTCACTCATCCTTTCCCTCCCCGTTTTTTTTTCCAGTATAAAGGGATTTTGGAGAATTATTTAACTGACTCCATCAAGCTCACTGCCAACGACAAGCCCAGGAATAGCTGCTGCTGACCCCGGGGCCGCTGGAGCCCAYGGCCGGAGCCGTGCCCGCTGCCCACCCAGACTGACCACCGGGATGGCCGTGCCAGGGCACGGGATGGGCACTGCTGGACACATCCTGGGATTCCTGACCTCCTCAGCGTCACGGAGGGTCTGTCCCCCCTCGATTTGTGGCCGCCTGGCACCCGAGTGGGCTCTGTCCCTGCGGTGACGGTGCCAGGGACAACACCCTTGGCACCGCGGGTGACCCTTCCCATGCACGGCCCGGTGTCCCCACGGCTCTCAGGGTGCCATGTAGGGACACGTGGGGCTGGTGGCCTTGGCACAGGGCCCTCCTGGCATCAGCCACTGTGGAGGCAATTATCCTGTGCCTCAGTTTCCCCTGGTCTCACACGCATCCCCGGTCAAACACCTTCCACCTCCCGCCTTGCTGGGGGGGATTCTCAGAAAAGCACTTTGTCAGGGATACTTCTTTTTTAAAAAACAAAAAGGAAATTAAATATTTCATTTTTATTTATATTTATG